CCGTCAGAATAAGTTGGAGTTTGTTGCTCGCTCGAGACCTTGCTGCGCGAGGACGGGCCTTCGATGAGCGAGTGCCAACAGAGCAAGCAATGGTGCAGGTCCCAACGGAAGAAGAGAAGAGACGACGCCTGCTCACGCATTTGCCATATGCAGGCTGGTGTGCATCTTGTGTGAAGCACCGTGCCAAGCAGGACCAACGCAGGCGTACTGGTCGAGCACACGAGCAGGGAGTTCCAACAATCTCCTTTCATTTGTGCAAAGTGAGAGCCAGTGGATCGGGAGCCCGTGGAGAAGTAGAAGATGATGAGGCTTAAGCTGGAGTTGCAGAAGAGGGAGGAGCATTGCTGATGGTAGCAGTTTGTTCCGAGACAGGCTACCTCATGGCCCTTCCATTGAAGTCCAAGAATCAAATGAGTTTGATTACTCATGAGCTGATGGCCTTCACTCAGGTTCTTGCTATTCAGACGCCGACTTCCAGGCAGATCTTACGGTTGTTAGTTGCTGCAAGGAGCGCTATGACTCAGCAGGCAACTGCTGAGTCGAGAACGCCGTCCAGAGAATCAGAAGCCCAGCTGCCACGCTGATGGAAGATCTAGCAGGCCGCATCGAGCTTCGATTCAGCAGCCAACATCCATTCTGGACTTGGGCAGCAGGCACAGTGCATGGTTGCTCAACAAGTTCCAGACTGGTTCATTGTGGATGGCGACAGGGTTTTCTTGAGCAGATCATTACGACGAGTTGCAAATTTGCACAGGGAGTATCTCTCATGGTTTCAGGCCTTCACTGCTTACTCCTGGGAATAGCAACAGAACTTTGGCGGACGGATAGTTCCTTCGAAGAGATTGGCTTCTATGGTGGGTGCTCAACAAAAGGTGCCATTTGTGGAGATTGCCATCGACGACCAGGACGCAAGAGATGTGATTGCCTTTGGTCGCTCATGTGCTGGCAAGTTGGAGGAGACCTGTGATTTGACACAGGAGGAGAAACCCAATGAAGAAGCCAAGAAGGATCAAACAAGCAGTGGAGAGAAGCCCAGGCCGATGACGGAGGAGGACCAACTGAGAGAAGACATATGAAGAAGGTCCAACTCCGGAGTTGATTCCTGTACAACCTGATCCCAATACTGAAGGAGTGCAGGTAGCGCCCAGCCATGCGTCGGAAGAACAGATCAAGATTGGTCCAAATACTTACCCGTTTACAAAGCTTCAATGCCTTTCCATGGGGGTATCAAACCAACTCTGGAAGAAGAGCATAGGCATTACCAGCAGCACAGACAGGCATTCCTAGAGAACATGTAACGCTGAAGTTTAGAGATGAGGATGCAGAAGCAGTAATGGCAAAAGCACTTGAAGGAGGACGTGATTTAGAAAAGGAAGAACCCCATTGTTCCCAGAAGCAATGGAGATTCCAGCCCCGATGGAAATCCCTGTTGAAGCAATGAAAAGAGATGGAGGTGAAAGAAAGCCAAGTGGAGAAGAGACACCAAGTAAGAAACAGAAAGTTCTCTTTACAGATGAGAAAACGCACGAGAAGGTGAACGCATTTCCCTCTACATGATTGCTAGCAGGACAGCCAAATCCAATTACTTCTATCCTATCTTCATTGAGATCACCGTCGGCGCCATCAAGACCAAGAGAAGCGTTTGAATTGCTTGAAGAGGAAAGGCCAATGAAGAAACTGAGGCCATCAGATGATTCAAACAAGAAGGCCAAGATCAACGTGGTGAAAGTTGGAGGAGAAGATCTCTACCATGTGGACGAAGAGTTATCCCCAGTTGTAGAAGAAGTTGATGAAGAAGATTGGGGTGATGAAGAAAGTGAACTAGATTTGGAGGAAATCAATGGACCTGAATTTTTGTGGCGTGATGGAGAACACGAACCTGAAGGAGATCCAGAGGACCATGAAGATGCAAGTGCTGGAGAAACCAGAAGGAAGCACAAGAGGAATCAGTTACTTGACAGCGTGCAATGTGTATGACTGGAGGAAGAAGCCATATGAACTTGGAGATTGCGTTTCAGTCAAGAGGTGGATGCGAAGATCAAGGCTAGTTGCAAGAGAATTTGCTTTCGCTGAAGGAAGAGAGAAAACATTTTCCCGCCAGCGACTTCAGGACATGTACTGAAGCTTCTACCCACAATACTCTTGGAAGGGACAAGTGACGAAGATGAGGCAAGAGAGGGAGAAGGAGCATTTTCGCAGGCGCTAGGATGCCTTGATGTGAAAGACGCTTTTCTACAAGTTCCACACGAGAAGCCATTGAAAGTAAACTTGAGAGGAGAGGAATTCTTGGCGAAGAGGAATTTACCTGGACAAAGAGTTGGGGCAAAAGCATGGTTTGACTTTTTCATAGAGTACCTCACAGAGGAATTCAACTACAAGTTCAGTGCTGAGTGTCCGTGCCTAGGAAGAAATGAGAAGGGTATCATTTTGACCCATGTGGATGACGTAATTTCCACACCCCAGGAGACTCAAAGTACATCAATGAAATCAAGGTTTGAGAGGATTGGAGATGAGTTCAATTTCCTTTGGGTTGGCGGGCTATGGATCCAACCAGACAACTACTGCCAGCAAATGTTGAAAGCCTATGAAGAGCAGATTGGATTGGTGAAACTTCAACAACTACCAGCAGACGACTCAATCCAGATGGAAGACAAACCAGAAGCCTTGCATGAGCGACAGAAGATTAGTGTCAAATCCTACAGCTATGTCACTTCATCACTTGAAGAAGGCTATGGAGTATTCTCTAGTGTTTGAATTCCCACAAGCAGGAGAAGGTGCTTGGAAGCATTCTCAGATTCAGACTGGAGTGGAAACAAAAGCCACAGAAAGTCAACGTCAGGAGGGTTAAATGCATTGAACGGTTGTTCATTGTTCAACAGATTCAACAGCAGCAGAACACAGAAGATCGTTAGCTTATCTTCGTGTGAAGCAGACTACACGCAATAGTTTCCTCAGCGTCAGATGGAATCTATGCCAGAGCAGTTCTTGAATTTGCTCTTGACACAAAGGTGGACCATTGCATCTTCTCAGATTCATCAAGTGCGCGCCAACTTGCGACAAAGAGGGGAGTTGGAAAAGTGAGACACTTAGATGGAAAGTTGCTTTGGATTCATATCAAAAAAGACTTCAAGATGGTACAAGTACCAACAGATAGCAACATGGCAGACATCAACACAAAGCCACTTGGAGGACAAAGATTCAGATATTTGATGAACCTCATTGGTTACTGGCACAGTGATGAACAAATCAGAGTGGGAGAGTATCAGAGAAGGGTGTGTGAAGAGAAGAAGAATTTTGCAGGGAAGGCCACTAAGATTGCAAAAAAGATTGTCAGTGGTCACAGAAGCATTCCTGAAAGGAGACAACATCCAATGTGAGATGGGCGCGGTGAAGAAATCCAATGAAGAATTGAAAGTTTGGATTGTCATGATCATCGTGTTCAATATTCAGTGATCTATGTAATCTTCAAGGCTTTCAAGCACTTCGAGACCAGGTATGATCAACAAGCACGACAAATTACATGGAGACTCTAGTCAAGAGAGTTGAAAAGCGAATTGATGTTATTGAACTGAGAGTTGCAATCTGGAGAGAGGAAGAGCTTGAAGGTAAAATCGATAACTCTACACAACTATGCCAGGAGAATTCACAATGGATTGATTCTGAATGGAGGTTTTGTGGTAAGACCAGCCCCAGATTTACAATCCATAATCACTTATGACATGTTGGGAGATGAATGCAGAACATTACTTAGCCAGAAGGAGCCTGGAAGACATGCAGGCAACAGAAGGACTGTACTATGGACACCAGGTAATGTTGCAAGCAGCTATGGATGGAGCAAATCCAACAGAAAGACCACTATACAAAAGGTTCAAGCCCGGAAACAGGGAACTTTCAATCAGACAAGAATATGAAGTAGAACGAGCAAACCAAATGTGTGGTCCACTTGAAGCAAAATTGCAGTAACTTGTAAAGAGACACTACAACTTGCTGGATAGAGGACAACCAGAGTTAGTGGACTTGGTTGAGAAAGAATTGGACACATATCGAGAATTGTTAGGTATACCACATGCCAGCAATTTCTAGGAACCCAGTTCCTGGAAGAAATGAGTAAAGCTGGCAGAGAAATAGAAACAAACATGGAATGGACAAAAAATCGTGGCAAAGTGAGCTCAAAGAAACATTTTGGCGTCTCACTATGCCAGGAAGGAGTGCGAACCATTTTGCACATAGATCACAGTACAGTTGCATGACATATCTTGCACCATAGAGTTGCCATCTTGACTCCAACAGGGTGCTGCAATGAGGATCCGAAATGTATCGTAGATATCTGTAGATCTTGGCATGTTCGGGAACGGACAAGGGAATAGTCAGCAGAGCTGTGGAGCAGACAGGTAGCCGGCCGGAGGCAACGGTTGCTAGGCGCTACACCCGGTATCCTTTGATTCGCCTCGCTCCTCCCAGGCAATGCTGGCAAGGCTGAGGCTCATGTGAATTGATGTCGATGCGACCAAAATCTTCAAACACTGCTTTGGCTGATTCGTCCAATCTTCCTTGTTCTTGCAGGCCAGACAAGGAGGTGTATGACGTGCCTGGAATGTTGCCAATTTCTTTAGCCGATTTTGCTCTGGGATGGGCACGCAAATGATGATTTTCCTCGTGCCTGTTCGTTCATCACAGCTTTGAAGCGCTGCCCTCTGTAGTGGAGTTTCTGGTTTTGAGCCGTTGGATCTGGCAGTTTTTCCGCCGAAATGCACTTAGCGCATTTCGCCGGTTGCGGCAAAAAAGGCGACGGCTTGAAGCAGACTCCCTGTGTGGCACACTGCAAGAGGAGTTTTTAACTTGCCTTCAGGGTAGCATGCGGCAAATCTATGGCAGTTGTTCAAGAGGCATTCGCGGCGCAACTAGAACCAAACCAGCAAGTGATTTCTACAACATAAGCATTTTGCATTGCAAGTTAATTGCATTTTTTGCATTTAACTCTAGGAATCGACTTTCATGACTTTGCCCATGTAGACGGGCCCATGGGGCTGCTAAGCCGGTCCAGCCCAAAAGATGCACAGGAGCGATTTGCGCGGTTGTGAGGCCTTTCTGCTGTGGCCATGACTGTCCGCTCAGGCAGTTTCTCCAAAGAAGGTTGATCTCGAATCCGGTGATTTTGCGTGTGCTATGACTGGTGATGCAGGTTGCCCGCTGATTGAAAGCTGCTTGCTTTGCATTGCCAACCGTGAAACTGGTTGGATTGCTTGAGGCCGAGGCGTGACTGAGGAAGCTGTCGAACTCCAAGAGCCTGAACAAAATGTAGGTGGGAAGATCCGCGGGTGGAGACCAATCAACGCGCCCTGTCAGTTCCTACATCCCATCCGGAAGTGACAAAACACATCTTCAAAACGGGTCAAATTGTTCTGGCGCCCGCGTCTACATGTGCACATGCTCCACACAGATGTGCATGACTTCTACTTTTCTACTAGCATTGTCAATTGGCATGTGCTTTCAGATTTGAGTTGATGCTCAGACAATTTGCACCCTAGACTGCCTAGACTTGAAGTCACGATTCTAGTAGACCAACACCTACTGCTTGTTGCCAGAGACATTTATTGTATATATATATATATAATTTGTTCCGCCTCGTGCTTTCCTCCGTTGGAACGAGTTTGGCCTTGCAAAGCTCAAGGTGGTGAAGGAGATGCTGCCAAAGGAACTGTTGTGAGCAAAAGGCATCTTGTCTACATAACTGAACTCAACAGTCCTATGCATTCGCAAATCAACACGGCTACCTTTGCTGGGAGTCAATTGAGGAACCCCTCATATGATGCTTAGGAAGGTCTCTACTTTTATTGCTATTGCATGGGATTGAATGGCTTTAAGACCTGCTGTTACCACCAAGGAAGGCCGTGCTCAGGATGCCTACGCTGTTTGGAAAGGCAGAGGCGAGACCAAGGCTTACGCAATAGGTCCAGATGGGACATGACTTGGACTCCTAGAATGAGACTGAGCGTTGGCGGCTCTCTTTGGGATTGATTTGTTTGTTGCGCACTGGTCTGTTCAGTGCTTCGCTGTGATTCTTCCCTTGCAACTATAGTGGGTGCAGCAGCTGGGCAGGATGGCCCAGAAGAAATGAAGGAGCCCATGGAAAGAATGCGATGGTGGGAGCTTACGTTTTCGATTAGAGGCTTTGAGAATGTTACAGTGGACACGCTGAAATTGTTCTGGACGGTCTCCCTGGGAAGTGACAACCCGAAAAAGCACCGAAATCGAGCGCTTCGACTGCAAGTTGCTTCGCAGGGCTTTGTATCATTTTCCTGTCCATTGCTGTATCTCATACAGAAGCCAATGCCCTTCGCACTGCGTTCCTTCAAGTTTGAAAGAAACATCATTCACAAGCATACACACACACACTCTTAAAAGAGTCCAGGAACTTTGCAGTAGGAATCTTCATGCTAAAAGCCAGCGCTCACATCGCTTGCAGCTCTCGTCTCATAATGCAAGAGTTCTAGCCTGTTTCTGCTTGAGCAAGGTCCGGTTGCAGACAAAGTTCACTCCGATCTTCACGCTGGAGAAAGGCAAAGTCTTTACTGCAGACAACCCAATCGTGTTATACGAGCGCAAGACCTTTGCCTTATGCTACAAGGAATCTCCGCTGTTCTTTCATGATCAGTGTCCTGCTGAGACAGGCTACGCTACGAGAGCCAACCGATAGGCTAGGCTTAAGTTAGTTTCTGCGAACGAAGTGAGTTTGGGGGTCCGGGACGTAGACACAACTCCGTGTGGAAAAAATCAGACTGCTGCTGCCGGCGTTTTTAGTTTTTGGCGGAGGCAACCTTTGGTGAGTTGGCGACGCACAAGATGCAAGATAAATTTGTGGTTGCATCAACTGCATTGAGGTCATTTGTGGCCCTAGAACAGAATGGCCCTAGAAGGAGCCCAGGTAGACTCGGTAGACCAAAGGGAAAGACACTTGCGCCCCTCCGGAGCTGCAGCGTCGTGCACGGAAACGAAGGTAAACAACAATCCCTGGTAGACCAAAAGCTTGGTCAGCTGCGGAGGCAATGTATCGCATAAGCTTCACACACCTTTGGGTTTCTAGTTTGGAGATGCTTATCCAATCGGGCCTTCCCGGTGTTGGAGAGTGGGCCTGGCCAAGTGGTTTTCAGTGCATATGCATGCGTGGGGTGTCAGAAGCAGAACACTTCGTTTCCTAAAGGGTGCGGGTTGTAAATGGTCCACAGCCTGTTTTTTGCACGGGTTTCACGGCCATGCTGGATTTTCACGGTCTTCACTGCTTTGGTCTTGAAGCTATCAGTTCTTTTCCACCAGATGGCGAGAGCTATGGGGTTCTTACTTCAAGTATAGGGATAGGAAGAGGTGCCTGTCGGCTGGGGGTGGTGCTGCTGCACTGCAGGGTGCCGGTGCAAGGTGCCGGCCACATGTCTGTGCCCTGTGCGCTTTGGAGCTTGGGTGCTGGTGCCAATGCAAGGTGCCGCCGCGGAGTTATTGCCAGATGTCTATGGCAGTTTGAGTTTTGGAGCCTGCATGTTGTTGTCGCTGCAGGCCGCTGCAGGGTGCCGCTGCCAGATGTTTATGGTAGTGCGGGGTTTGGGTGCTGACATCTCTTGCTATCTGGGGTCTATGCTCTCGTAATTTACTGAACTTGTTTCGCTCGATTCATGAGTTCTTCCTCTCCCATCTAGGGGGTGGTGGGGCGTAGGGTCACTGCATGTACAACTTCCTGTCAAGCCGTGGCCCATGAGACCAAGTGGGAGCTAACATTCATCAAGTGGGAACTGACATATATTGACATATACCAAGTGGGAACTGACGTTTACCACGTGGGAACTTACATTTACCAGCCGGGAATGAACATTTACCAAGTGGGAACTGATCAGATTTCGACACTTGCCCATTTAACTGGCCAAGTGATCCCCTCGCAGAAAACTAGGCATCTCTCTTGGTCTTTACTGGTTTTCGCTTCCCCGTTCTCTGGCAGATTTTACTTACAGTCTACAACAGTACCTTTGTATAGTTCGTTGAACTCTTGCAGGAGCTTGAGAAGCATGTCGTCAAAGTTGACATGTGGCGCGTCTCTTGTTGGACCTTCAATGAGTACTATGGCGTCAAGAAGCAAAAGCTCTCTCAAATTGCGAACCGCGATCCAAACATGGAACTCCGGATCCTGCGGAAGCTCTCAAGACTCTTGCCTGGACAGTATACACTGTAACTATTTCTGCCGTTTTGGTGCGCACCTTGCGAGTCCAATTCTTTTGTGTCAGCATAGGCTTGGTGAGATCACAGGGGTTAGATACTGGATGGGCAAAGCCGTCAACAAATATAACGACAAGCTCGTATATGGCCATGGGCCATGAGTCACGGCACTTTTTCTAGCAGTTTTGGGATGAACCCCAGACCTTGTTTGGTCATAGGTCGCTCCGCGAGGCCAGGATTCGACACCACAATAGAGCATTTTCAACTCAATAATAGTCCTCAGTAGTCCGCGCTAGTCACGCAGCCCACTGTTTTGGAGCCAAGCAGGCTGACTAGCTCTCAATATCAAGATGAAATTGCCCAGAGCAAAGCCGAAGATATTTTGAAACGGACAATTCAATCCTTAGAATACCTAGACTCCTAGACCAGCTGGCAGGAAGCGACATGCTTTGCAGCTTGCCGGGCCCATTGCTTCCGAAAAGTTCTTTCAAGGTCGAGAACTATATAAATAAGTCTTTAAGGTCAAGTAAGACTCATATACAAGTAAGACTCATTTGGCACCTTAGTTATTACAAAGTTGCTTTGTTTGATGAGTTGGATCCCTCGTGCAAATTCAGCACCCTATTTCAACACACCATAAATAAAGAGAGACTTCAGAACTCTACTTTGTAGGCACTTTTGTTTTTGGGTTCGCAAGCCCGTCAGCAGTTTGCAGATAGAACAACAGTCGCCCAAATGGCCTCGCCTCATGTTGCAGTGGCTTTACCCAAAGTCTTCCATTATACCCCTTCCTTGTTTATCCTCTTCAAACTGAATGTTTCTCTGATCAACCCATCCCCACTCAGTTTTGCGCAGTACGGCAGTCCATTGACTTTTCCTTGTCGCGAGCGACCCCTCAGAACTTGGAGAGTTTACCTTCTTACTCCGGTCTTGCGCCAGGTTTTCCGCTTAAGTCACTCCCTCCTTGGCCGACTTATATGCTCTCCTCTCGTTGCTGCTAATGTTTCATGCGATATACTTAATGATGCATTGTTTGCAGAGACATTTTTTCATATGGAGCCGGCTGTGGCAAAGTCTCGGGGTAGAACTTCCTGGGATGGTCACAGCTGTGGGGAGAGTGCGACTGAGATGCCCACTTAGGAAAGCAGTTGGCCGACAAGAAGAAAGCCAAGTCTGTCGCGGATGTAGCGCTCTATCGTTGCACGGTGAATCTTGAGGAAATCTTTGACTTTGATTTGTTTTGCGACTTGGCTGACTCGGCATTTGCATTCTCACCTTGCACTTGCAGTGAACACAAGAGCATGTGCAGGTGAGAATTGGACACTGGAGCTTGGCCGGGCTAGCCCGGAGTTCAAACAAATGAAGGAAGAACGGAAGCGGCTGACGTTCACCGTGCCCCGGGACCGACCGATACTGTTTCAATGTAAATGTGTAAGGATGCAGCTTGTGGGCATTGAGCAGACAACTCCATTTTTGCACGGCATGTGTACACTGTAAGCCACCTCAAGCTTACAACTTTCTGCTGCAGCTACGCGCGACCGGCAACTTGTGATGTGTACTGTGGTGTAATTTTGTGAAGTTTGATGCCCCTTTCAGTTTAGGCCACTTGGCCTCCACATTTTCCATTGTAAGGCAACCTGTTACTGTTTGCGCCTGAGTGTTATATTCAGCACCTCATGAGCCTAGCTTTTCTCAGACAACCATATATATATATATCATTACTATAATCCCGACGCCCAACCCAAAGTCGAATTTGCGCACTGAAGACGAGAAGCCTGGCAGGCACATCAGGCACCCAGCAAACGTGCACTTTCGTTGCAACCCTAGACGTCAAGGGTGCAATGAGGCTAGCCCTATCATAAGCTGCATTGTTGCCCCCAAGCTAGTACTGTATGCTGCTATTCAGGAGGCCTGGAACGAAAGAGGTGAGAACACTTGTGGCTGGTCACTTGGGTTCTGTACTTTGCTTAGTCGACGCTGTTCAGATGCGCTGGATGATTGCACCCTGTGCGCAATCTACATCAAACTCTGGAGGAATTAAAGGAGAAAACGCTCGCAGGACCGCCGAACTCTGCCGGGTCATCGGCGCTATCTTGGGAGGGGAGCGGCTTCGCAGACAGTTGATGCATGGCTGAAAGTTGAGACTTTGGTGGATCAAAGACCGATACATCTCACAGACTACTATATATATATATATATAATATGTACACTATCCGGAGGGGAGTACATGGCACAATGTTTTCTATATATAGATGGCCCCCCGGCTTGCTGGACATGGATGCTCCCATGTTTGGAAGATGGCTCAATTGGTAGGTTTTTCACCATGCAAAGCTAAAATTCCATTAGGTCTAATAAAACATGCGCCATCTACTCTCCACTCCGACTCATGGGAAAAAGCCGACTCCTTTGCTCACCTGTCCGCTCTCCCTCCTTCCGCGAACCAATAAAAGGACCGGATAACCCCACATGATAAGTTTTACAAATTTCAAATGTATATGAACATCACATGGGAGACGGAGTAGTGAGATGAAAAGTCAAGAACGAAGTGTGAGGAGAGAAGGTATATGAGGCGGTTGTGCTCAGACGTGCAGTATAAGTGATGATGTGATGGACGAGGATGAGAAGGAGGGGAGGGAGGAGGTGTGTGTGTGTGTGTGGTAAGATGGCGTGTGTGTGTGTGTGGGTGTGTGATAAAGTGTCTGATGATGTGATGAACAAGGATGAGAGGGACGAGAGGGACGAGAGAGAGAGAGAGAGAGAGAGAGAGAGAGAGAGAAGGAGGCGGAGAGAGAAGCTTGGAGGCTCTGGATTTTGCGATCAGATCCGCATGCGACCTTCAAAACGTAACACACTCAAAACGACCATCAAAGCTATCAAGTGGTCTTATCCCGACCACGGCGGGCAGTGTTAGCAGGATGTAAAGCAAGAAGAGGTGAGACACGCTTTTTTTCTGTCACGCAGAGATGTAGAGTGAGCTCCAGGCAGGACCTGAGCTCCGGTCATCTCGCACGACTAGTCAGTGAGTTCAAACCGAATATATTTTCAACACTGAAGGCTTCCCAAACGACTGGCTCAAGATGCCTGAAGCTTCCCAGCTCGTGATTTATGCTTGGCGCCTTTTCTTTTCGTCCATTGCAAAAACTTCAGCAGGAAGCCTGGCAGTCTGCCCTGAGCCCCAGCGATTGAAAACCCGTGAGAAAACACTTGCAATCTTCGAACACCAAAGCCGCCTGCTTTGCAAGCATGGATATTTCAATGTTATCAGCTTGAAAAAACACGGAGTCTTCCAATTCGAGGAGAGCAGCCTCGACGTGTTTTCGAGTTTCAGCAAGCCTCACGTCATGGCCGCCGAATTCGTCACGGCAACGGCTCATCATGGATGCATCATCTGGGCAGGGCTTCTGACAGACAAAGAAACCTTCTGGCGGAGGCCTAGCATCTGGCCACGTGAAGGCACCATCTTCAGACTCAAGGGCGCAACGTGCTGCGACAACCACCAATTGCATGCTTTGTAATATCGTTCTTTGTTTGACGCAGGTTCCTCAAGCATCCTACAGCTGCTTCTTTGATGATCTCCAAGCCGTCCGACAACGAATCTCGTGACTTGAACGCGGCGGCGTGCTCAACGAGCATGGCCACTGATTCTCGCTTGAGCACGGTCATCACATCGCTAGAAAAGGCTGCGGAGAGCACTGCAGTCAGCAAAAGTAACCCAAAAAAAGGCCTTCCCAGTCAGTCTGTACTGCAAGTCACATGTCACAAAACATCAGAAGTGTCGATGTCAGAAACGAACTTGGTCAGTGCCAATTCTTTTGAGAAACGAACTCCGTCAGTCGTTATGCGACGCAAGGCAGCGTTGTTTTCGACTCTTTTCGCAGCAGCGTATCGCCACAGTCTGTCCAGCTCGTCACGTCGACTCGCCGGCATGCTAGCTCACAGTTCTTGAACTGCAGCAAAAATGCGAGGTCTTACAAAGGAATTTAGGTTCTTCTCCCAAGTACGCAATGCCCAGAAGACATGCGGCCGATGCTTCCAGGGGTGAAGCGTGGGACGGGCCGTCAACAAGCTCTGTACAGCCGCTTCCGCGGAGAGCTGACGACGAAAGATCAACCACGCGCACAATGCCGCTGAGCTGCGGTTGACCCCGCCGAAGCAATGAAAGAGGATGCCTCGTTCTTCTCGCTGAGTCGTTGCCTTCAAGTGCTTCAGAAGAGCGCAGCACATGTCCATCCACGATGACAACCAGGCATTTCCCACTTCTTGACAAAAAGTATTGGTGTCATCCAAGTATGTTCTGGGATCGTCCACGTCGAACGTAAACCACCGAATCTTGAGATCTTCAAACCACGCTTTCCAGCCCACCTCTGGCTGCCCACGAATACGTTTCATCTCCCGCGGACAAAAGCTCAAGACAACCGACGCCCTGCGACAGGAAAGTGGGACAGTTTCCTGGTGAGTCCGGAGATGGCGACAGGCAGCCAAGCTCCCGAGAAAGTAGATCTCAGGCGGTTCCAAAGACATCATCTCCCCAGGAAGTATTTCACAGATGTCATTTGGCCAATCTGAAATATCACCGAAGTGATACTGGTGCGCTGCCAAAAGCCGGTCGAGTGTTGGCTGATCCTCGATCGGCATGTCCAAACTGCTCTGAATCATCCGTTGCAAAGCAGCGCAGGCAGCAGACATCGCATCGTCGTATGGCTCCATGTTGCACGGGTTACGTGTTTCGAGCCTGGATATCTCACGGATGGTCCGCTCAAATGCTCGCTGATGTTCTCTGACATACAGCTGCAGGCTCACAAGTTCATAGACCAAGTTACTTGATGTTGGTCTCTATCGCTAGGGCGCGGTCATCATGTCGCTCAAAAGCGGAGGTCACTGAATTGCACCCCCCCATTATTTATTTTTATTCTCTGCCGGCTGAGTGATCTCAGCCCGTGTTGGGCTTGCAATCGAACGAACGATCGGCAGCTTCGTGAGCTGCTGCCCAGGCGGCAAAGTGGCATCATCATGATGAACGAATCGGAACAAAGGGGTTCCGAGGCTCGACTATCTTGCCGAATGCTGAGGTCAATGAAGATTTAGCAACTAGCCAAAACATGCAAGCATCTGTCTCCATCTCTGGCAGGTGGGGACACGCGACAGGAACCATGTGATCATCTGTCAAAAAGCGGCCTCCGCCTGTGTGCAAAATTCCTTGGTAATGCCCAGAAGAGGGCAGTTCACCTCTGTGAAGGACGGTGGCCACGATCGTGAACTCTAGCCAGCGGGTGGTGCACCCAGTGTCGTACATGAACACCGGAAGAAAAATCTTGTGACGATTCCATTGAATCTGGGATTTGGATCGAACGCCCATGGTGGGAAAACGGTTCACCCGCAAGCAAACATTTGTGGTCCAAGAGTTCACTCCGTATCTAAAAGGGAGCTGGTTCGACCAAAGTTCAATGAGCTCTTGCAAGCTGCTGCAAACTGACTTTTCTTGCCTCAGGACAATCGGTGCAAAGGTCAAACCCCAGTCCTCTATGGATTGCTCGAGTCTGGCTTCCCAACGTGGTGCTCTGCCCAGGTCTTGACAGCTTCCCTGATGAAGGGATTGTCTCAACCAACCCGCAAACTCAGCAGCGTCTTGCTGCTCATCCCTAGCATGTACCGCAAACCAAGGAGCAAGGCAGGTGCCCAACACATGAGGATCTGTGAGCCATTGAACCTTCGTACCATGACCAAGAACCCTCTGTAGAGGCAGGTTCCAACAATGCATGGTTTGCCACCCAAAATTGCTGTCCACGCAGCATCTCCATAATTCAGCCTGAACTACCGAGTTGACATAGCAGTCATTGGCTTCGTTGCCAAGTACCAGCTGCAAGAGTGCCTGCCTCATCGTTTCAAGCAGTGGGCCACAGCTTGGGCCAGTGGTGACCTCTGTAGAGTCGAAGGTCTCAGCCTGAGGAGGATCAACTGGGTCAGGCCATTGGCGGTCAATTTGGTCAGCAGGTCGTAGATCTCCTGAGAGGCTGGGCTGCGAAGCGAGAGATCCAGTCTCCATGGAATCACTACCGTCGTCTGCTTGACCAACAGGTCGGCCTGAAGAGGTTTCAAGGCCGAGAAACGATGGATCAGGTCTGACTGGCCACCGAGCTGGTGGATCCTTTGAATGCACCCCGTGCCATCCAGTAGCTGCGTCCAATCGATCGAAGCGCCCTCCCAATTGCCATCCAGTTGCAGAATGACGGCATCCGAGTTGGGCCAGCCCTGTGGAAAGTTGGCCCGCATCACCTCTTCCACAGTGATTGCCCGATGATCCACATCCATCGGCATGCTGGGCATCATGTACAAACCGTGAGCGTGTTCGATACCACCTGCCACAAAGATTGCACCACCATGTCTCAACAAGCAAACATAATACATTCTTAAATGACGAAGTGTCTTTATTCACACGTGCAGTTCACTTCTCAACAAGCAAACATAATACACTCTTAAACGACGAAGTGTCTTTATTCACACGTGCAGTTCACTTGTCAGACATATCCCGTGTCCATCCCCCTCTCCCCTCTGCCTGTGGCTTCCGGACTGCTCACATATAACCCGCAGTCACTGATGCAAGTCTCAAGCAGGATTTCGAGGCAGTCACTGCAATCTGCCGATTCTCCAGGTGGAAATTTTACGGTATTGGTCAAATAGATCTGATTCAGTAGAGCATACGGAGCGATACAATCGTACTTCTCGCTCCGCAGCCGTTGCGTCAGTTCTTCCATGCATGTCCGCAACTGCCCTTTCCGCAGTGTTTGAGACAAATCCCTGCGCAGAGGCTGACATGCGACCATGCACTGAACAACAGCATTCAAATAGCAAGAGTTCCCCAGATTTCGCAGGCCAGTCTGCCAAAACCGATCTTGCAAACCAAAAGTGTCACGAGGGCGACTGCCGTAGTCAAGCCTCAGATGCACACCTTTCTCCCACAACCATTCCGCAGAAGCTTGCTGAGCAAAATGCTCCATCTCTAGGTGTTCCTTCACTAGTAGCTTTGCCGCATCGAAAAGCACATCTTGTTCGGAACCCTTTATCACACGACGCATTCGCGTCTTCAATGCCCTGGAAACCCCTTCCATTTCCGAGGTGGAACCT